ACAGGCAGTTACCTTCCATACCAGCAGCTTCGTCTTGAGCTTTCTTCAGATTCTACTGGGCCAATTCCAAGTCGAGGTTGAGTTGCCTCTGCTTCTCCTCAAGTTCAGCAAACTTGGAAATAAGAGTACAAGACTTCTGCAGAAGGCAAAAGACGGGTCAGTCAACAAGATCAAAGGTTGTTTACTTCTGAGTGAATAAAACCTAAAGAAGTTCGCTTAGACCCCAGCCGACTGCACACAGTCGACTTCGGTCTCGGAGGCTACACCCAGCGGGTGCACTTGGTGTGCCCCCGCTGATTAAGACCCAACTCGACCGGTCCGCCCAGGCCAAGTCAAAAAAAAGCTCTTTAGACCCCAGTCGACTGCCAGTAGTCAACTGCGGTCTCGGGGACTACACCCAGTGGGTGCACTTGGCGTGCCCCCACCGGTTCAGATCCTACTCGACCGGTCCGCCCGAGTCGAGTGGAAGAAAAGAAAGGAAGGTAGAACTCAAACCCCAGTCGACTGCCAGCAGTCGACCGCGGTCTCGGGGACTACACCCAGTGGGTGCACTTAGCGTGCCCCCACCGGTTCAGATCCTACTCGCCCAGACCGAGTGGAAGAACGCAACTACCAAAGACAACAAAACACCCAGTGGGTGCTCTGATTCGACGCAAACAACAGGAGATTGTGTAGAAGAAAATTTTTCGGGTAGCATATCCTCATAGAACAAGAGCAGTCGGAAAGTCTACTTACCTGGACATTGGCCCGAAGAGCAGCGCTGGCATCGTAGGCAGCCTGGCTATTCTCATGCACCGTCTTCACCTGCTCCATCATCACGTCAGCCTATCGGATGGCTTCCGCAGCCGCTTCCAACTGGTTGTCCGGGATGGGGTAGCTGGTGAAAAAGAGAGCAGACGACCCAGGTGTGGCAGCTTGGAGCTCCATGGTGTGGAGTTGGACGACTGAAGGAATCACCGGTGCAGTCGACGGTGCGGGGTGCTCACTCGACAAGGGTGCAGCGAAGGTTACAAAGGCCCTGCCCGCATCTTCAGGTTGACGGACGGGTGTTGTTGTTGTTGGCCCTTGCTGAGACATCTTGCCAGCTGCTACATTCTTGCTCTTCCTGGGCTTAAGAGCCACATCTTCATCATCATCTGGAAGATCGATGACGTTGGGTGGAGCTGCAAGATAGATCATTTGACCCCAAGTGAACCACTAGAATGCAATCGACCAAGGAATTAAGAACAAGATCATAAGAGTTTCTACCTGGGTTAGAGGTAACCGCGTCTTCCATCTCCTCGTCTCGGTACTGGAGAGAAAAGGTTCCCGACGTAGCAGCACTACGAAGACCCGCATCCAGTCGATTACATTCTGTTACTCGAGTCGACGAAAAGAACAAGTCAGATGATTACCCGGAGATAGTAGGGACGGTCACTTTGATCCTGGGCAAAGCCTTTGGCAGTTTGGAGGAGGTGTCTTTCGGTGCTTTCGGCGCTGGAGGCGGCACAACTTTGGGCTGCTTCGGAGCCTTCTCAATCAGCGTTGGGTAAGACGTCCTGGGATGCTTCGAAGACTGCCCAATCGGCGCGGCCACTAGGCCCGGAGCGCTCGTGGGGTCATGAGCGTGTTTGGATCTCTCCTCTCCCTGCGAGGAGGCGAGTCGACCTCTTCGTCATCAGTTGATTCGTCGCTCTCCTCGTCCTCCTCGGCATCCGAGTGCCCTTCGCCGCTCTCGCCCCCGCTCGCTCCTTCCTCAACGTCTTGCTCCTGCACTCCGTTGGGCATTGAGTACATGTCGATGAGGGCCTGAAAAGACAACGATCAAAAGAAATTCAGTCGACCATCAACAAGATGTCACACAGTGAATCGGAAAGATACTTGATAAAATAGAATCATACCTGCTCCGGCTGACGTGAGTGGTCGAATGGAATCACCCTCCTAGACCCCCGAGGGTTGTCTTTGTTGCTGGTGATTCCCATCAGCAACTTCTCCAAGGTGTCCTCGCTGACGTTCTCCGGGTGGATCCGAGTGGAGTCCTCGAGCCCAGAGTACATCCACATCGGATGATCACGTGCCTGAAGCGGTTGGATGCGTCGACCGAGAACGACCTCCAGCAGGTCCATCCCAGTCACCCCATCACGGACGAGTTGGACGACCCGCTCGACCAGCACCTTGACCTGCGCCTTCTCTTCTGGGACCATCTTCAGGGGGGAGGGCTTCTCCACTTGAGCCAAAGAAAAGGGAGGAAGTCCAGTCGACTGACCCGGGGTCGGCTGGTCCTTACAGTAAAACCAAGTCGACTGCCAACCCCGGGCCGAGTCGGGAAGGATCATTGCTAGGAAGGTGCTCTTGTTCCTCATCTGGATCCCCAGGCCCCCGCACATCTGGATCACGTGCGTCCTCTCATCACTCGGATTGGCCTTTTTGACCGACTGGGAGCAGCGGGTGAAGATGTGTTTGAAAAGACCCCAGTGCGGTCGACGGCCCAAGAAATTTTCACACATTGACACGAAAGCAGCCAGATAGACTATGGTGTTTGGAGTGAAATGGTGGAGCTGAGCCCCAAAGAAGTTCAAAAAGCTCCGGAAGAAAGGATGGGGAGACAGTGAGAATCCGCGATCTACGTGGGTGGCAAGGAGAACGCACTCACCCTCCCTTGGCTGCGGCTCGATCTCGTTCCCCGGGAGCCGTGCCGACTTGTGGGGGGTCAGTCCCCCCTCCACCAGGTTGTTGAGGTCGTCCTGGCTGATCGTCGAGCGGATCCAGTTGCCCTGGATCCAGCCCAGCGGCAGGACGGATCTCGACGAGGATCCGCCCCGGCTGGTCCGCTTGCCCTTCGCCTTCGCGGTCGCCTTCTTCACGCGCTCCAGCGCCACCGTCTTCTCTTTCCCCATGGTGACGGATCGAGTTAGAGCGAGGGTCCAGTGAAGAGAGCAGAAGCGAGCGTGGCGGAGAGGTCGGAGGAAGAAGAAAAGAGAATGGGAGCGCACAGGGCAGAGGCCTGGTCCGGTGCCTTTTATAAGGCCGTTCCCCGAGTGACTGACTGGTGGATCCAGACGATCTAAACAAATCCCGCAACAGTCGCACACGTAGTACGTGGCGAAAAAGGTGGCACGGAGATCGAGGAGACTTGCCTAATCCATCCCGATTACCACAGTCTCGCCCATCTGGCGCGCTTCCCGAAATTCGAATCCCGCAAAATCCGCGGAGAGCAGAGCAACTTGCCAGACTGAAAACGCTCTCTACATTATCATTCGGAATTCTATCGTGAAAATTCACTCGACAAAAACCAAGAATGGACCAAGGCGACCGAAAAAGGAGTCAACGTCGTCTCCTCAGTTCATTGTTCCAGAACAAGATATACTCATAGCACAAATAATGAGTCGGAAGTGTTCCCAACTCCTTCCTCACTCAAACCCTGTACCTGGGGTAGGGTCATGGATCTATCCAACATACCCTCCCCAAGGATATCTCTACAAAGAATCAGAAGCAGTCGAAGAGAAACCATCATCCACTCGACCACCTTGAAGACACTCGACCACCAGAAGATGAGAAGCCCTTCACTCCGCAACGGTCGGGGTTTAAGTCATAGCTTTATGGACATTTATAGCACTTTACTTCGGACGTTACCAGTAACGCTCCTCCTTTATGAACATTGAACCCTGTGTAACGGAGGGGAGCTGGGGTCCTGGTGCACTCTATATAAGCCACCCCCTCCTATGGGACAAGGGTTCGCACTTTCTGTAATTCACACGCATATATCCAGTCGACCGCCTCCGGGCTCCGAGACGTAGGGCTGTTACTTCCTCCGAGAAGGGCCTGAACTCGTAAAACTCGCGTGTACAACTCCTCCATAGCTAGGATCTTGCCTCTACATTCCTACCCCCTATTCTACTGTCAGGCTTAGAACCACGACAGCAGCGGCAACGCATTGGCCTCCACGCCGGCCGCGCTTTCGGCCAGCGCCTGCGTGAGTCCAGGTCACCCGCGCCTCCTCCTCGAGCATGGAATCCTCGTACTACCACCAGTTGGCCTCCTCGAGGGCGGCCAAGTAGGCGTCCTCCTTCACCACCACCAGTGGTCGTGGAGCAGCCGCTGCAACGGGTGGACCCAATCCCAGATGTTGTCGGGCCTCGTGTTCACTGGCGAACCAGTCATCCTAATACGGGGGAGTCCATTGCGTAGTCGGTGTGGGGGCGCAGCTCCGAATCTAGGGCATCACAGAAGCGATAGATCTACTCTATCCGCTTGCCAGCTGATTGTGCACCATTGGCACCAGCACCCTGTCGGGGTTTAGGTGTCAGCCGTGCGGCAAGTTCACATCCGGCCACGGCGTCGGGATGCCGTGCTGCCAGTGGTAGCGGCATCGATGGACGGGGAGATACACCGGCCGCACGTGTGTGCGTCGAGGTTGGCATGTCGGTGGCGGCCACATGGCAATGGTGAAGTTGGCCGCTCACGCTCCCGACTAGAACAACGCCTTGGGGTCGTGCTTGCCACCGCGGGCGAGCTTGCTGTAGAAACCCATGGGTGGTTAGGGCTTGCTGCTTGTCTCGAGGCGGACGCCTGCGTGAGCGTGAATATAGTGCATTCAAGTCAGAAATGTGTCGAGTCAGACACCAAGCGAACACAAAATGGGAATATGTTGGCGCATTGGGCCAGCGTTTCTATCCGTTTACGTACCGAACCAAATGCGTCGGCGCGTTGGAGTTGGCCTTACATACACTTTACCGATCAGTGCAGGTCATAGAAAACTCAGATAAATCAAGTCATGGAGTACATTTGCGTGTAAATGTTCGACGGCGAGTAGATTTGCCTTCAAATGTTCGACCGAGAACAATATCTCTAACAATTTATACCGGATAATAAGATCTCTGTTGAACGAGAGTGCGAAATGCAGATGACTCTGCTGAACGGAAGTACGAAATGCAGATAGCAACAGACAATCCATGGGAAAGAGATCTTAGCAGCGCATCCCCAAAACACATGCAGATCGATCGTCGGGCGGGGCATGGCAATTAGGTGGTCGCCGCCGCCGGCGGCGGGTGAGGGTGGAGCGGCACGATGAGCCGCGCCGGGTCGAGGTCTGGGTAGCGCGGAAGCGCGGCGCGCTTCATCTCCTCCATGCCGCGCTCGTACCCTCGCCGATCCCGCTCCGCCAGCGCGCGCGCGCGCTCGCGCTTCATGTCCTCCATGCCGCGCTCGTACCCCCGCCGCTCGCGCTCCGCCAGAGCGTGCGCGTGCTCCCTGCTCGACCCCCGCGCCGCCAGCTCGGCCTTCGCCTCGCGCAGCTCCGCCCGCAGCGCGTCCGCCTCGCGCGCCCGCAGCTTCTCCTCCAGCTCCAGAGCGCGGCCCAGCGAGAATGACACCTCGTTCGCCGCCTGCGCATCATTGCCATGTCGAATTGTCGATCGATCCAGAACAACGAAGCATGCAGGAACAATCCCCATAGAACAGGAGCTAATCTGACTTTGCATCTGCGCGTGCTCACCTGGAGCAGTGACACGTAGCTTGAAGCGACGACGTCGGCGGGCTTGGACGCGGCGAGCTCGCGCTCCCGCGACGGCGTAACGGTGCCCTGCAGCAGCAGCCTCGCCGCCTTCCAGTCACCGTCTTTGCCTGTCGCGGACGGCCGCTTGCAGGGGGCGGGGAAGCCCGGCGGCCCAGAGGGCTCCGAGGCCGAGCTCTCGCCGTCGAAAGCACGGTGGTCCGCCACCTTCCTTTTCTTCCCAAGCGACGGCGCGCAAGGCAGCACCTCGCAGTCCGGCTCGCTCTTCACCGTCACCTTCCCCGCCGACACGCACGCAGCCGCGGCCGCGGCCGTGGCTGCCTTCTCTGCCACGAGTACATAGGGATTCCAAATCACGGGTCAGTACAATGCACGGCAACGTCCAGAATCGTTCTGAAGTCCATAATGCCGGAGGGGTTCACCTCGAGGAGTTGGCGGCGCAGATGGTGCCCCAATGATCTTGGCCGCGGCAAGATTGTCGTTGCTGAGAGTGAGATACGTGGTGAGATCGATCGGAGAACTCCTTCGAGCACGCAGCAGCTTCTTCGCCATGTCCTTCTCCTTGCCGGTCAGCGTCTGATCCAAGGTGGAGGACCCGAAAGGCAGCCCCCACTCCACCGGGCACGGCCACGGCGCCGACGACGCCAAGAAGAAGAAATCCCCCTTCCAATCCCGGGCAAATCTGTTGCGCATCCGGGCAAAGAGCAGGCCGTGGTTGTCCTTGCCGCGGAAGCTGTAGAACCTGTGCGGTGGGAACAGGCACAGCGCGAAGAAGTGCCGGAACACGGGCAGCGACGGCTCCACGCCGGCAAAGTGGGAGAGCACGACGAAGCCCGCCAGGACGCGCCAGCCGTTGGGCAAGAGCTGGCTCGGGGCGAGCCCGAAGTGGTTGAGCACCGTGCCGAAGAAGGGGTGGAGGGGCAGGCGCATCCCCACGTTGAGCGAGTCTACGTACACGCAGACGGAGCCGGGCGGCGGCGGCGACCACGAGGCGAGGTTGCCGGCGAGGATTGGGGTGAAGCTGTCGGGGATGGAGTACTTGTTGCAGATCTTCTCCAGGGCTCCTCGGTTGCGCAGCCGCGAGGTGACCCGCTCGTGCGGCGCCGAGACGTCGTCGTCGCCGCCGCCGCCTCCATCGCGGGAGGGTTCCTCGAGGAGTTCGTCTGGTGACCAGGATCCCGAGCTCCAAGAACGAGCCATGGCGAGGCGGCTGGGGTTGTGTCGCGGTCGGACGGTGCTACTACTTCCTCCGTAAACTAATATATATACTCCGTATGAGCGTTTACATCACTACTAGTAATCAACAAGACGGTAAGAAAGTGAAGGATCCATTTTTCGTTTGTACAAATTGTTCGTAGAAGATAAAAGGTTATGCAAAAAACTTACACGCGACGCAACCATCAGACACAAGGGAGGGCCTCGACGCCTACACCTAACACAATGAAAGGACGATGCAGTTCTTAGCACAAAAAATGGAAGTGTGTCGTACTCTCGTATGCATGTGAGCCATTCCAGAAAATGGACATGAGCAGTCTGGAGGCTCTAGAACTCGGCCAATTTCCACAGCTTTCGGCGGGGAAAACTTTCAATATGCGCCCGGGATTCAGTTTAAAGTGAAAAGGGTGTACGTTGCCGATTCATTGGCGAGCTGCATTTGCATGAGAGAGGGAGGAAGAGAGAGAGAGAGAGAGGGGAACATTTGCAACTTTGTTTTAGTTTTGATTGTTGGGTAGGAAAAAACCAAGTCAATAAGGACATTTTCTTCTGTATATCTCTGTTTTTATATCTAGACGTGGTCCATGAATATGATACGATAGAAAGTCATCCAACGCTAATTACAAAGTATCCGGCTGGGAGGAGAAAAACTAGTTGACGACCATGATGTGGTGGGACATTTAAGGTTTTGTGTCCGGTTGGGAGGAGAGAGGGAAAATGGGGGGCCATGCATGTGCGGCTAAAGAAGAGAGGGGCATGCATGTGATTGATCAAGTACATGTTCGAACTACGCAAAACTCCCCCCACATTTGCCTCCAAAATATTGAAATTTGGATGTCCGGACGGCTTCACAAACTGATATAGGTCTTTATTAGTTTGCAAAAGTAAACAAATATGTCTGGCCGGACATATACCGTGTTTTGCGGGTTCCTTTGGAGATGCCCTAAACCCCTAGGAGAGATTTTCCTGCAGACTGAGAGCATCTACAGTCGGACTTGACAAATTCGGCCCCTCAAATGCCCGCGGGCACTGACAGAGCACGTCTCAAATTAAACACTTTGCATCCACCTCTCTCATGTTTCATCCCCTTGATCCATACAAAGCATGCAAAAAAAAATCCTACGTGCTACATCTACGTACTATCCTAGCTACTCTTCGTCGTCAGAGATGTCCACGACAATGGTGCTGGGCGCCGGCTGGACAGGCGGGTAGAAGGGCTCCGGCTCATCCTCCTCCTGCTCGACCTCATCCATGTAGGCGAGCATCTCCACCTACTCTGCGCCCTATTCCGCCTTCATCTCCTGCCGGCTATGGCGTCTTGCCTTCTCAGCTGACTCCCACCGAAGAGAACCGAGGATGGCGGCCGCGACTTCCCCGTCGCCGGATGCAGCATATCCGATGGCCGGTTGTAACGCAACCAAGCGGCGAAGGATCTAGGCTGGCGCCATGACCATGGCGAGAGGAGGACTAGGCGAATGTGGTGCACGGCCATGGCGTGAGAGAAGATAGGCAGTTAAAAGAGAGGGGGCATGGAGGATGCCCTTGCCCTCTGGAATCAAGTGGTTCGCGGCGCACTAGCTCTACTGATTACACCGGCGTACTGACTCGCTGAAAGAAAAAGAGGCTGAGGCAGGGGATAACCTGCAGGGTCAAAGAGAAAAAAGAATAGGGAAAGGAAAACTAGCTTTGTGGGCCACGACGCCACGTGGTTGCCTGACAAGAGGATAATGCTTGCGTGCGTGGACGCGACCGGCGCTTCGTTCGGCCGGCGCACGGGCTGCAAACGTTTTCCTTTTCTCATGCCATGTCGAACAAAGTTAGCTCAGCTGCACAGTGATACCAATGAAAGAATGACGCATAGGTGCAAGGTAAAGCTCATCGGATGCACACGTGACAATGAATTTGATCACATACCTGGCAGTACGTGGTTAATGTCTGTGTCTCTGGACTAACTAACGTTTCTTCACATCAATGGAGCTAGCACATAACAATTTGAATAACACAAAACAAAAGATAAGCAATTTTAAAACAAAAATTATATCATGCAACTATGTGTAACAAACCAGAACATAAAAACTTCTATTTTCTCTAACCTTTTTCATTCTCCTATACTAATACTCTAAAATAGAAAAGAAAAATAAATTATTACCCTAAAAGAAGAAAGAAAATGGAAAATTATTAACAAATTTAAAATATTTGCACACAATATACACATAAATTGTACCTTTTATAATATGCAACAATAAGCATATAATAGTAGAATATTTGCAAGAAAAACATTTCTAACAATGAATGAATTAGTTGCATTATTATTACGTCGAAAGAAGAAAGGAAAGAAAATAAAAACTAAAGCAAATTGAAATGATGAAGTTTTCTAAGAAAGAAAGAATTGGTGGCTTTGGTATTACCCTTAAGGACAAACAAAATGAACTAAAAACTAAATGGAAATCAAAATAATGAACTTTCCTAAGAAAAAAATGAAGTAGTGACGTTATTATTACTCTTTAAGAAGAAAGAAAAAGAAAAATAACAGCACAAATATGACAAATTTTGCACACAATTTACATATAAATTTCACTTTTCATAATATACAAGAATAAGCGTATAATAGTGGAATTTACACAAAAATGAAGTTTCCTAAGCAGAAGGAATTAGTGACAACCGTATAAGCATTAAAGAATTAAGAAGTTTTCTAAGAAATAATGAATTAGTGGCTTTGGTATTACCCTTTAAGAAGAAAGAAAATGAAACAAAAAACTAAATCAAAATCAAAATTATGAATTTACGTAAGAAAGAATGATTAATGATATTTGTATTACCATTTAAGAAAAAAGAAAATGAAAAGTAACGACACAAAAATGAAAAAATTGGCACACAATTACATGGAAATTGGATTTATTCATAATATGCAAAATTAGGCAAATAATTATTGGAATTTTACAATAAAAAGGAGTTTCCTAAGAAGGAATAAATGAGTGTCATTGGTATTACCATTAAAGAAACAAAATAAAACAAAACTAAAAATCACAATAATAATGTTTTTGAAGAAAAAAATGAATTAGTGGCTTTGATATTACCCTTTAAGAAGAAAGAAATAAAACACAAACTACAACAAAATCAAAACAATGAGATATTTCTAACGAAGATTGCATTCGTGTTATTGGTATTAACCTTTAAGAAGAAAGAAAATAAGTAAATAAATTATAAAACAAACAAATACAAAAATTGTAGGCAATATAACAAAAAAATAACGCTTTTTAAAAATGTGCAAGAATAAGCAAACAATAGTGGATTTTTTTGCGAATAAGAAGTTTCATAAGAAGGAATGAATTAGTCGATTGGTATTACCCTTAAATAAAAGATAAAAGTAAAATAATAAATCAAATCAATCAAAATTAAAATAGTGAAGTTTTACAAGGAACAATAAATTAGTGGCATCATTACTACCACTTAAAAAAGAAACCCGCACACACTTTGCACCAAAATTGCACTTTTTATATTATACAAAGACTAATTATATAATAGTGAATTCTTGTATATATTTTATAGTACTCGTGCGTATGCATTTACACTCACCCAACATTTAAAAAACCCAAAAATAAAAACCGACTAATAAAGAAAAATATATTTGCAAGAATTTGATCGAAAACAATAAAATATTACCACTCCATTCTCGATAAAACGTGCGCAATGACCCATGTCGAAGGCAGGGTCAAGCATACTGTACTAGGTGCCGATTTTCGGATCAAGGTTTCTCCTAAGCAATTGCTAATTCAAGTTAAAAAATTCAGAAAAAACTGAAAAATATGGTGGGAATTGAATAAAAAAATCTCATCCAACTTTGATATGTATGCATCACATTCATTCATCAACATTACTTCATCAACAACCATTCATCATTCTAAATATATGCCTCCACACATTCATCTTTCTAAAGATATACATCCACACATATATGCATATGAATTCATTTTAAATATAGCAACACCACAAGATGAACTAGGGTTCATCCACTCATCCATATATCCATCCATTGATACACACATCAATTCTAATTAAATTTAGTTACAAAAATTTCAAACTAAAAGATGAACTAGGGTTCACCTACGTCCATCAATTCATCCACACATCCAACATATATCTATCCATTCATCCACACATTCATATGTCAAACATATCCATCCATTCATCCACACATTCATATATCCAACATATATCCATCCATTCATCCAAATTTAAGAACTTGAAGATGAACTAGGATTCACCTAGTGCTTAAAAATATACAAAACTAGAACTATATGACTAAAACTAATTGGAGGGATCGAAAGAGCTTACTTCTCTCTTCGTGGAGG